ACACACACACACACACACACACACACACACACACACACACACACACACACACACACTTTCCCATTTGCAGTCATAGAAATACTACAGTAGCTGGAGCATCAACACTTGTGACCTTGTGAGTGTTGAGTGCAACTCGTCATTAGCAGCAGTGTCATGGTCTCCTCAGTGAGCCGCACTCAGGCTTCACGGCCCGGGAGCTAAAGGGGAGGAAGGATGCTGCAACTGTCCGGATGCTGCGACGGGCGCAGCATCTCGGCAGGGGTACCCAACCTGCTCACACCCCGAGCAACCAACACAGACAAGCCCCGGCGATAACGTGAGGGAGTAACACGAGGCAGTATGGATGCACAGGCTTCAGCTAAAGCCAGATATTCTGCTTCTAAAAGCGTAAATCTGGAGCGTCCATGATGGCTGGCACCGCCTTTGCAACATCATCATCATCATCCCTGCGCCCTAGCTAGCAGAGCGGGGAGGGGAGAGGAGCGAGGAGAGGGGGCTGTATACATTACGAAGGCCCTGGAGGAGATATCATCTGGTTGTGGTGATAAAGGACAATAACAACACAGATTAATAACGCGCGCTTTGTTTGGTCTGTGGAGCTGCAGTGTCGCATCTGTTCTTCTCAGCTGAACCTTTCCAGCGCGGAGCTCACGTCTCGTTTCTGCAGATTAATGCACAAAGGTTTTAAAAAGAGGAGTCAGGAGCGTGTTCATTCATTTACTGCCAACACACACACACACACACACGCACGCACAGATTGGACGTCCAGCTCTCCGCCTGTTTACTGTGAAAGCAGTCGTCACATTAGAACAGGTCGCTCTCCCCGCAGTGGCAGCTAACCGTCTGTAGCCCACATGCTAACAGGCTGCGGACACTTGTCTTTACCTTGGTGTACAGCTCCGACGCTGCCATCGCGGCCACCGGCTATGTCCTTTCTCCTGCTCCTCCAATGTGGGCTGAGGCTCCCGCAGCTCCCCGCACGGCACGGGCCCCGGTGCGTTCGATCATGAAGCGGGGGCAGGACTCCTTTGTTGCCGCTGCCGCTGCTGCTGCTGCTGCTGCTGTTGATGTTGCTGTGGGGCTCAGGGACAAGATGCGTCTCTCATCGCCATGATAACTTGTCCTGAAACGCTGCTCCAGGCTGCTGCCGTCTCACTTTGCATTGTGGGTATGATGGATGAAATGATTCAGCCAAACACAGCGAGGCTGCTGCTGCTGCTGCTGCTCCCTGGTAACTGCGCCACCCGGCGGCCGAGCCATGGTAATACACCAACAACAACGTCCAAAGTCATTCCAACGCCAAAAAAAAAACAGAACGGTCTTTATTGTTAATTCTTATAAAATTAGGTTTTAATATTGGCACATATAAACACCAATATGTCTATGAAAGGCACACATCGACCTATTTCTTTACAACTGGCTCTAATTCTCAATAGACAAAAATCAATATGATATCTGTGTACATATATCATATATTAGACCTTAGGAGTTAATATATTTATTTTTTAATATGCTTTGTGTAATGTAGGTGTCTCCTCTGCATGAGGTGGTGACTCTTACATTATATATATATTTATAGATATATATATATGCTATAAGTTATTATTATTGTCATCCTATAAATATGCTTCTATTGGGGTAAATGACATGTGTGGGCATGGAGATGGCTCAGAGAGCCCCCCCCTGCTGTACCAGGCAGTTAATCAGCTGAGGGCCATTGGCTGATTGATCCTCTGATTCAAAAGGCAGCAGCAGAGCTGCCGGAGGAGAGACACGCAAGAAGACTCACGGGAGAGAAACCAAGAGACACATGGACAAGAGGACGCTGAAAAGCCAACACGCTGGCAATAAGTGCTTGCCAGTTAATGTTTAGTTTTGAATATATGTTTTCTCGTGTGTTGGAAAAACAAAAGATGCTGAAAAGCAACTGGTTTCTCTCTGGCTGTTGTGGTGAGACCCCGGTGGCATCGTCAAATGCCACAACATATTTATGTGGACATGCATACTCTATATTTGTCTATATTTCTGTTAAAACAATTAATTACATTTCTTTTTTTTTCAAACAAACTTTTTGAAGTCACTTTGACTTACAAAAACTAAGTTATTTACTGTGGCAAACTAAATGGGTACAATGATCTTGCAAGTGGTATGGAGCTTCAGCTATATACATGGAAAGCATAGACAGTCTTTAAATATGTTCGGAGCACAACTAAAAGATGTTGATTCAAGTCATTTTCATGTCAAATATAGCAGAATTTGACTTATGTCAAAACTATTTCAGCCATTAAACATATACAAAAATCTAAAAGAACTCCAGTCTCAATTGTCATTGTCTGATTGGAGTGTATACAGTTGGTGCTTTGGACAAACTATATAGTTTTTCCCCAACTCAGTTTTCAAAGCATAACATAAAGTTCCAACTGAACTTTTCCTCTTAAACATGCAGAAAGTCCTAAAACACATCAGCATTAACACACAAAGGAGACAACAATTAAACATTTGTGCAAAACTATTTTATTTACAAAACGAAATGGCATAAAGTGACAGCAGGGCAGCCACGTACATGCACAGTTCAGACAGATGTAGTGCTCGCTTAGATTTACCACATGACAGGTAAACTTCATCTAGTCAGCAAGGACCCTTGAGAAGCACTACAGGGGCCTGAGGACAATTTCAAGATAAAACTACTTTAACTTATGAGTATAGATTTTAACCCCCAAATCTGAACACAATTCATTAGACTCTTTGTTCCCAATGCCAAGAGATGCTCCCAGTAAATTTTGAACAATAGATTTTTTTTCTCACACACATCACAAAGACTGGTCCCTACTGACAGGAGTTGAGCTTTCAGGTCCTGTATACTCCACTACAAGCATGGTTGAGTCATTCATGACAACTTGAAACTAGACATTTTGACCCAAGGAGAGGTATGTGTCGTCCTCTGAGGCTGAAATGCATGGCACTTCACAGATACAGTGCAAACTTTCAACATTACATTTCAGATTGAAGCCAACAATGGCATCCCCTTCTTTTAGTTTCGAAACGTTTTGAATGAACCACAGATCTGCCACGCAGAGATTTTTTCTTGCACCAGAGCTTTTTTCGGCAAGTTTAAATGTCTGTTCAGTGCACCTTAATGATTTCAAATGGAACTCAGTGAAGTTTGCCTTTAGGAGCCCTGCTTCACATAAGCAGGTCTTTATGACACTGTGGCCTTCACCGTGCAGTCTTTTAGTATGACCCCGCTCCCCGTTTCACAATCAAAGTGTTAACAAAACTGAGCTTGGCCTCTGGATTACTATACTCAGTCAATCACTCAAGCATATTGACAGCATAATTTAGAATAAGGACATACAGTGAATGATACAAATCTGATGTTTAACTTTCTAAAAGGCTGATATCTGCCCCTGTGCCGAACAAAAGACACACACACACATGCACACATACATACTCACACACACACAGTAGAATCCTGATGTCTATACCAAAAGCCCTCTAAACACTCAAGATGCAACTTTTGCTTCTTGCCCCGCTCTTAGGCCAGTAAACGCTGTAGTATTGATCATCCATCCCTAGTACAGAAGAGTCACAGTACGTTCATCACACTCACACTTGGATGTCCTGTCTTTCAGTGTATGATAAAACATGGAAGTAATGAGAAAATAAAAAAGGACCATGAAAGCTTAGAGGACAGTGACAGAGGGGCAGTCAGTTTGTGGGAGTAGTGAGGGACAAAGCAGAGACAGGAGGTAGAGACGGGGACAAGTGGGGTGAAAAGTAAAATTAACAGGATTTGAAGGAATCAGCCAGCTGGATCACCGAGTGGTAAGGTGGGACTTTATGAAGATGGGTCCAGGCAGTTGGGGATGGGGGTAGATGCTGGGGACAGGTGGAACTGTGGGAGAGGGGGTGGGTGGGCGGGAGAGGTAATGTTACAGCTCTGAGACTCGAGTGGAAAGGGTTAGGGCTGGGAGGTACTGCAGGAGATGTCAGGGCTACGGGTGCATCAGCCTGCCAGTTTACTGGCAACCAGGGAGGGTTTCCTTTGGGGCAGGTCCTGGGGGGTGGGGATGTGGTCCCCTGTGATCTCGGTCTTCTCTGGTGCAGCTGTTGGCAACTGTTTGTTCTTTATCTTCGCTTTAGCCATGTTGTAGTCCCCCGAGTCAAAGTACTTTTGCTGCAGAGACATAAAATCCAAATGATTCTTACATCATGGTACATTTCTTTGTAAAAACAATTTAAATGTCCTGTTTGAATCCTAAACACAAAAGGGGAGAGACGTGACAACATACATCATTTTGTGTCAAACGCGTTGAAGAAGTCGGTTGGCAAGATAACATTCAACACTCAAATGTGTTTATTTAACCTGGAGAATACAGACCATGTATTTTAGTTGGAATCGCTGAATTGAAACAACCTCTATTTGTTTATGACAACCAGCACCACAGGTCAGCGACAGTATATAAGCCTGTTTGGAAAGATAAATAAGTTTAAGGTTGTCACTAATTATGATTCTTTATTGGTTAATTTGTCAATTGTTATTTAATTTATTTATTAACTTTGACCATAAAATGTCCTAAGTTTTGACAAATGTCCAGCACAACCTATAAAACCACTCATCAAGCTGAGAATATTGAAATAATGATGAAATTCAATTTAATTTTATTTGTATAGTGCAAAATCATAACATTAAATTAGAAAATATGCTCCTTGTAAAACATGTCTGTATGTTTGTTTTACCTGAGAAATATTACAATCAATAAAACAATACATTTATAAATTTTTGGTATAGTCTTCATATTTCAATTACTTTAATTATGGATTATTCAATTGGTAACTTAGTTGAAATAAATGTCAAACAAATAATGGCAAGTCTTCATCACAAGTTAGTACTAGAACATTCAAATTGTGTGTTTCTGCTGGTGAGGAAGCAAAGATTTCACAAAGTCATGAAAACAGAGGGAACCATCACATTTGATGACAAGTGTTTTGATATTTTCATTTGACATGAACAGTCATTCTCATGACTGTACACACATTTCCAGTTGATTGTCAATGAAAATGATGTAGTACCACTATATATATATATATACCACTAACCCTCATTGTCAATTAAAATGAATAGTCTAAGACCATAACCCTGTGTCACAACCTGGCTCAAAAGACTGTGACAAGGAGGGAGATGACAAATGTTGACGGTTATATTTACATGACATTTATTTAAAGGTACAGTGTGTAGAATTTTGTGATATCTAGTGTTGAAATTACATGTTGCAGCTGAACACCCCTCACCTCACCCTCTCCTTCCAAACATGAAAAAGAACCTCTGGAAGCCTTCAGTTGTCATAACAACTCAAAAGGTGTTTAGTTTGTCCAGTCTGGACTAATGTAAAAAACATGTCGGCCTCCGTAGAGAGGACCCCCTCGATGTAAATATAAAGTATTTGAATATAAAGGGTCTTTTTTGGGCTAAAGAAAACTACAATTCAAACAATTTACATGAAACAAACTAGTGAAAACATCATGAGAATTATTTTATATTATATTTCTGCCACTAGTTCCCTTTCACCTCAATCTTACACACTGGACCTTTAAATAAAACAAGACGGGAACCACAACACAGTGTGTGTCAATAAGCAATAAATATTGCATTGTGAGGGTTAAAGGGTTCAGGCTGATGATTCAACTGTGTGATCATTTGGAAACTGAAGCTGGTGGTGTGGTTTGAACTATATTATGCTGTGAGGTATGTCTAAGATTTATTCTACCCGTGTTTAAACAAACCACATTTTGAAATTGTCTAGTAAGTGAACCTGGAGTTAGTTCATCAAGCAGCATGGATTCTGATAAGCCCTGGAAACTCAGTGTGATGACACTACACAGCAATGACATCACAATGATTGTTTAGCAGACAAACACAAGCGATCACTCACCCCCTTTTGGAGGCGTTTGCGAAGCAGATCAGAGCCTCCGGGTTTATTTCCTAAGTTTGGGTATCTGGCCTTCAGCTTCACCTCCTCTGCCTTCTCCGGGCTGATCACCTTGTCCTGGACCTCCTGAAGACAAGCAGAGGCATGAGGCTGTGAGAGGACAGAGACTTCATATTCCAAAACCAGTGACTGCACAACAAGTGAGCACATTCAGCAGGTGCCTCCAGGCTCCCACTGAAATATTTGTCAGCTGATGGCACTGCAGTATAGAAATAACCTGCCTGACTCCATGTGAGAGCTCCACTCACGTTTACTAGAACATAATCTGAATGAGATCTGTGCAGTAATATTTCACACATCTGATTTAACATAGGCAGCCACATTCGTGTTAGCAGGTGTGTTTAACATTCACCTGTCAGGTTTAAATAGCCATGCAGTGTGGGCTGTATGCGTTTAGCGGTCGGTTGGGATCAATGCTAACATGCTAAACCACACACTTACTGCTAAAACCTGATATTGTCAACGTTACCGACTACTTGGATTGCTAGCTACGTAGCATGGAAGCTGTGGTAACCACCGGGAGTTGAAAACAATATTGCCTCAAAACATTTGTCGGTTGAGCTAGGCTAACGTTAGCAGCTGGGCTAACCGTAGCCGATGATTTGGCTGTGTGTGAATGTCATGACAGCTAGCATGGCGGGTGGCGAGCTGCTAACATTAGCTCGTGGCAGCACTGACATTCACACCGACCACCAGAAACATTCGCTCCGTTAGCAGCCCGAAACAAGTCTGAGCAGCTAGCCGCTAACGAAGTGTCGCTACGCGGGGAGAGAAATAGCCAGGGCTCCGTGGCTAGCTGTGGCTGGCGCGTTAAAAATGGAGAACGCGGGGTAACAAGGCTAACGCGGCTAACGGAGCACTCGCTATAACAAAGTCAGCGCCGCTGCGGCTCGACGCGCTCCAACGCTGCGCTGTTACCTTCTCATCCACCGATGTATCCTCGGCCGTCTGCGTCTCTTCGTTATCCCCGGACATGTCTACAGCTATCCCGCTCTCAGGCCAGACAAGTGCTCACCAGGAGGACGAGGGATCCACACACTGAGCCCCGGCTCGAGCTTTCCGTACCCATACGCGTCACCGCCGCCGAGCTGCTGCTCCCGCACAAGAAATACGTCAGCTGCGGAGTCACCGAGCGCGCTCACGGCCCGCGCTCTGCCGCCGTGCACGCGCACACTCAGTGCTGGGATCGGATTTGCGTTGCGTAACGTGCTGATCAGCTGCTGGAGCCCAGAGCAGGGTTGAGTCCATTAATCCTCAGATGAGGAGGATTCTGCAACGCTGGTTCACGTCTTTCCTCCTGCTTTTCCAAACACACACGCGTGTTTCTCATGCACAGTGGTTGTGGACTGTGCACAGTCTCATTGAAAGGATAGTTCACCCAGAAAGGAAAATCCCCTCATCATCTACTCACCACTCTCACCGATGGAGAGGTTGGTGAAGTGTTTGAGTGCACAAAACACTTTTGGAGTTTCAGTGGTGAAAAGTGTTGCAGCTTCACATCCAATACAATTGAAGTAAATGGGGCCCTTTCTTCAGATGTAAAAAAACCAACAGAAGAAAAAGATAACATGCCTCCTTACTGCTCCTGTGGTTTCATCCAAGTCTACACAAGCCCTGATATTCAAACGGCTTCCTTTACACCACTGATCTCTTCTCGAGCCGTGTTCACGCGTGGATCACTGAGGACATTCAGGATAAAACACTGTGTAAATGACCTTGTATTTATTCAAATATGAATGTCAGGGCTTATAGACACTTGGAAGACACAACACGAGCAGTAAAGAGACATGTTATTTGTTGGCTTTTACATTTGAATAATTGGTCACCATCCACTTCAGTTGTATTGGATTCATCTGCCACACTGTTTACCCCTGAAACTCCAGAAGTGGTTTGTGGACTCAAACACTCGACCCACCCCTCCATCAGCGTAGTGGTGAGTAGATGATGAGTACATTTTCATTTTTGGATGAACTATCCCTTTAATGTGCTTAATTACTCAATGATTATGCAGCAAACCCTGCATGTGTGAAACACAGGGTGACACCAAGCAAACAAATCCATGATGCAGGTGTTGAGGCTGTGAGTACACACACATACTCAGAGGCCTCCATGTTAAATGACCACCTCACATCACCAGTGCTCCTCTACTGTTGTGGCTTGCTGTGTGTTTGGCGGCTCCAGGTGTTACAGTCTGAATGAGTGGGAGCTGGTGAAACAACCATAAGGCCTCTTGAGTCCTTGTACAAACAAGCTGGACTAAAAGCCATTTATTGAGCTTTGAGAGTTTGAAATGATTTGCTAGTATACAATTTTAATGGTTTGGCCCCTCCTACGGTCAATGACTTTCTATTAGATCATCATGGTTTTGTGTAATATACCTTTTCTTCGCACTACATTTGGGCAATCAGCTTTTTCCATAAAAGTCTCAAAGCATTGGACCACCTCGTCTGATGTGATCTGTCAGTGCTTTTAAAACCAACTCAAGGAGTGTGTTGAAAGCTGCTCAGCAATGATCTCACTGACCCTGAGCTCTGCGGTTGGTTTGTTAATTTGACAAGCACACTCTCGTGATGTGCTCTTATGTTTGCATTCCATTGTCTTGCGTCTTCATCTTTGTATAGTCACGTGTGCTTATTGTGGTGCTGTCTTTTTATTATCTTATTATTTTTATTATCTTATAATTATCCGTGTGCTCAGCATGTTCTGATGGGTTTCTTCAGTGTTGGTGTAAATAATGTGAAAATGTC